AATTCTATTCTTTCTAATCTGTTGCCTGCGTATAGGAATTTGCAAAGTGTAGAAAATTTTAATTTCAATCAAAAGACATTACTCGTCTCTTGGCAAGAAAGAAAATACAAAAATGATCTCATTCAAATCGTTTGCATTTTCAATTGGCTTGTTTACATCGAAATCGTTTGATAAATTTCTTATTTTCGTATCAGGCAAATGCATTAGGCTAATTGTGACAATCTGAATGACATCATCACGGGGGACCTTACGAAAAAGAACGAGACAACACGCTCGGCTATTCAGCTGCAATCAAGAAGATTGTGCCAACTCTCACAAGCGTTCTAAACGCTTTCATCAATGGTTGTACACAGCTGTTATTCATGTACGTACATACGTCCGATTGGACCGCGTATCGTGAACTGTGGACTTATGTAAAAGTGGTATGACCATAGGGGGATGGGCACGTTCCATCGAATGTGAGCGTGTTACACGATATCCAAGGCGCTGTTTGCTTAAAAACATGCTTCAAGAATTCTACACGAGATTCTCAAGTTTTTACAATGCAGCATTTTTTCGATCACCTTCGTTCCTCCATATAAAGCGTCATACGATACATATTTTGTACTGCTTGCAGAAGCTATTTATAATACTTCAATTAATTTTACCTCGCTAAATTCGCGTTATCTACTTTTAGCTATACTTTAATACGAATAAACATTTGATTACCTGAACCAGCGCCCTCGATTAGTAATTGGTTTTTCCAATTCTCCCAGCTACTAACTTTCTACGACCCCATCACCGCATTCGGCATCGCTTCCCCGCGGTTTAATCTCCCCTTCGTCCCACGCGCAGCAATTTCCGCGCTGTCTACGACGGACGCTCTAAAGAAGGAGAGACGCGAGCCTCTCGGAGCCAGAACCACGTGCATCCGAGTCACTCGTGCAACAACACATGTAAGCGCAGCGACGCACGCAACAACTGTTGTGCAAGTGCCACGCCGCTGCGCGCCGCCTTCAATGATCTCTGTACCCTACGCGTCGATATCCGTGCCACGTCGTCCTAAATGGATCTACTAATCGAAGGTAGCCAGGCCTGCCAAAAGTGGCGTTACGCGTTCCCGTTCAGCCAGGCAGCGTCGGACCCGATGCCAGATTCGAACGTGCGCGATGCACGTGATCCGATGCAATTAGAGAATGAACAGGATATCGGTTCACGAACGCGTCGCGTGCTCGTCGCTTGTAAATATCAATCCAGAATCCCGTCCACGGGTTTCCGATCGCTATCGCGTTTTATTGATAGATACAACCAATCGGACGTTACTTATGATCTCTCTAAACAAATTAAAATATGACTAAGGTTTCACCACTAATACAGTTACGTTCCATCATTACTTGCTCCACTTATTTTTGAAAGTCTGACAGCTTTCGACAGCGTCTGAATCTTTTTTTATAGTAGATAAAGAAAATATTGAACAGGCAAGTATTGATCATCTGCTTCGCACGCTTATCCTACATATCGCAGAATTTTAACAATACCTCGCAAACTGATAAAAAATTTGCAACCAATAAAGACTATTCAAAGAATTTTTAACTTAGATTGAAAGTTTGCAATAACTCGTCAGGAGGAATGTTTACCGAGAACTTAGCGTCACTCCCAACCAGCGATTCTAAATAAATCTTTAAACAATCAGAGCCGGAATGGATCTGTTTTTAATTTTCTAAGTCGCCCTTGATGCGAGCTGCGTGCCGCCGTTTCCGATTTCCTGGCGCGCCGCGACGGGGACTTTGAGACTTCGTTTGAAATGAGCTCCGAACGGCCTTCGGAGAGTTGAAGAGGAGTCGAAACGAGAAAAAGTACGCGACGAACAATGAGACGTCTTGACGGAGGGACAGAGAGCGAGCTATAAATAAGAACTTAAATGGGAACGGATCGGGGCTACCGGCTGCGTCGCGAGTATGTTTTCAAAGTTCAGTAGAAGAGACGCGCAAAACATACGATGCGTTTCTTAGAACCGTGTTAGGAACGTGCTGGCATATAAATGAATCAGAACGTTCCATACAAGCAAGCCGTCGTTTCTAACGAATTGATAAAAAGTACAATATTGCCTTTTCCTATGAATATTTACCTCTTGATCCTGAGACTGATCTTTCGTTTTACATGCTTGAACACGTGTATGAATAAATAATATAAAATTGAGAAAGATTGAAGATTTTAATAAAAAATCATGGTCAGAGTGCAAGACATACGAACTTACGTATAACGCGAGCGACGTATTGTACATGAATAAAATCCGTCAACGTGTTAGTGGAGTGACATGAATTTATTAATGGAAAGTCTCGGAGCCGAGGTTACGTTACACCTGGCCGGCCCGTGAAGTCGAAAGACGCGCCAAGCGGCGACGCCGCGGCGCATCGAGTCGCGTCACGACGCCAACGATTCGAACAATTCCTCGCCGACTTGAACAGGTGCATTCCTCTGAGTGCGTTTCCGACGCGAGCCGCTCGTAAATATAATAACACCGTAACCCGAACCGGAATTTGAATGGACAGTTAGCGGACAGGAAGGAAGTGCGGTTAACGTGACTTCGTTGGAACGGAACGACGGTGGCGATGGCTAACAATCCGAGGGGGAACTCGATTTTTATAGAAACGGCGCGACGCGCGTGTTCGCGCCACGTTGGATCCAATTTCGCCCGGTCTCGCCTCGCGATGTCACAATCGCCGTTTTCGAGAAACGTGACTGCCATCGAACAGCTGTTGCATCACTGATTTGACAACATGGAAAATCTCTCTCTCTCTATGCTGGCCTAAATACCAAATTTTTACTATGGGTTCGATGACGCATTTTCGGTTCTCGCTGACGCAGTTAGGAAGTTGTATTGATCATAGTTATTTTTTGTAGAATATTCAATGATACCATTCTTACTATTCCACAGAAAATGTAATACCTGATTATAAAGAATGTATGAATAAAATTCTGAATTCATCAATGAACATTCAGTATAACATTTGGTATATTAATTATTTCTAATTAATAAATATATTTAGAAATAAATATTCATCTCCGAGAATTATCCCTAATTTTTATTGTTAATAATGACCATTATTACTATTAATTCCAGGATTAATTACAATTGCTACTGTTAATGATAGCCAGCTCACTATTCCACAAAAAATGTAATATCTGAAGAATGTAATTACAAGGAATATTTGAATAAAATTCTGAATTCACTAATGAACATTCAGTATAATATTTGACATATTAATTATTTCTAATTATCAAATATATTTAGAAACACAAATTCGTCAGTCCAGGACTATTTCCAATTTTTAATAACAGCTATTCGATTATTTAAAATTCCTGTTAAAATAATTATGTAATTAACTGTTCTATCAATGCGGTCATTAGTCACGCTATGCGAGTACAAGGTTTGTTACAGAATTTGTAATTTAAATTGAGTTCAGATCTCATTCCCCTGTCAAACAAATAATAGAGGAGGACTCACCCTAGAAACTTTCTTCTTGGTGTACACCTCGTCATCCTCGGAGGCTGTAGCGAAATTCAAGTTCCCTTCGCAGTATCCGGCACCAATCCCCATTCCATATATTTCATCCTTACAGGATCTACCATCTAGGCTGCAAATAAAAACGAAGCGTGTTACATTATTCCAAGGTTTAAGTGTTTACTTTAGTTCTAAGAGGCTTTCAACAAACGCTTGTAGATGGAATTTCCACGTATGCCAATAAAGCGGTTTTTTAACACGTCCTATATTTAGCTTCCGCAGAAGGAAATTTTTTTACTCGCATAAAAATATCGTTTCGTTAATGAACGAAAATGCATATTGCATATTCATTCTTTCTTTAAATGTTCTTCCTCGAAATTTTTAAACAAATATACGTGGAACGATCAGTGAAACGATTTAAAAATAATCAAGATAATCAGCTGGCGTTAGTCACGTAAAGATCAGGAATTCTTATCACGATTGCATCGAGGCGAAAAGACATTTCCCGCGACAGTTCCGTGAACAATAGCGGCGATAGCGGAAAGGATGTCGTGTCCGAATAACTCACGTCGCTTTCACATTCGTGCGAGTTTTAACAGAATCGTAAGTAAAGGTCCGTCTTAAGAATTCCCGGAAACGTCGATTCAGATCCCGCGAACGATCATTGCAAAATGAAATTCGAATCTGACTTCTGAATCATATTTCATCGCATTGTCTTATGTACTACGTAACGGATATTCCAAAGAACCGTAGCTACCTCGTAAGAAATACTTGGACACGATCGTACCACAAATCCCACTTTCTTCTCTGTAATAACCAATTACTACGCTTGTCAGAGAGTCAAGACTAATTGGACCGGTAGTAAACTGAAAAGGTGGCAGACTCGAAAGTTCGACTTAAATCGATCAGTTTAATTGCACGTTCGTGATTCCTCGAACGTGAAAGGTGTATCGAATAAAAGCAAGTCTCGAAACGAATTCACGGGTAAATCGAATAATGGCATCGTCATGGAACGAGCTGCCAGATGACGAGCACGTGCTCGTCGATTCGTCGCGGGATTCCTTGAGCCGGAAACGATAGTAACGCACACCAGCCCGGCCCTCGCCTATAGTTTTATCGTCGGAGACTTTACGTAACGCGACGTTCGCTCTAGAGCAGCGTCGAGCAAACGTTTCAGTCAATAACCCGGCGCGCACACCAGGCCACATCCTCTACCCCGTTATAGATTTTCCGCCATAAATAGAGTCGACGGAAAAAGGCACGAGTCTCCGCGCATTATTGATAATACCGTGGCAATGTCGTAGCGCATAAAAATTGCAACTGACACCGGGGTCTTACGTGCAGCTGACCGCCTACCGTGACAGTCTAACGATCAACCCGCTCTTTCATTACATGAATATTAAGGAACAGCTTAAGGGTTCTCATGTACGTATCTCGGATCGGTAGACCGTGAACACTCGTGATTTGAACGATGAAACGGCATCGAAGAAATATCATGCTGACTCACAATCAGAGGAATAGATTTCGTATCAACAAGCAGGAAACTCATCGACCGTTTCGGTTAATATCATAGGAAATTGAAAAGTCATCGCTCAAGCCAAATGTTTGATTACAAGTAAACCAAGTCGATTTGAATAAATCTAACGTCAGAGCGTGGAATACTAATTTTCACCGGAAAGCTTCTAATCCTTTTGATCATTTGCATAGTCAATAAGTCAGGAACAATTACAGTTCATCCGGGTTAACTATAAATTAGTCATAGCGTTTGTGTTATTTTCGCACTTGATTGCGAATCGCAAATACCTTATTCATCGAACGGACGGGAATAATTAATTGCGTGGAAAATTTGCGCCGCTACCGAAACGATTTCAGGCCACGGAATAATCCGTCCGGGAAAGATACTCACAAGGTTTTCAGCATGCGAACGTAAGTACGTATTCACGGAAGGTGTGACGTCACGAGAGTTCACGTTGCGGCATAGAGATAGAAAACAGGCGCATAAACACATCCAGCCTCTCCGCAAACTAATTACTATGCATTATTTCAAGTTCTTCCCTGGGAATGACTCAATCGTTATCTCCTCGGCGGAACAAGCCTCGCTAAGCCATTATAAACAAAATATTGTTACCGCGGAGGCGAGACACGTGTACGTATGTACAGTGACGTGTAAAAGTTCCCGACCAGATAATGTCTGCAATTTTTCTTTCAGGAAAGGAAGCGTTAAGGAATTTTTATTAGTATCGTATGTAAAAGCATATTACGTGAAAGGATACTATAAAAAAAATCAACACTATTCATTTTTCTTACGTGTTTATTTGCAGAATAAATAAATTAACGTGTTCAAAAATTCCCGATCGATGTGTTTAACAAAAGAATTATGTTCTTTATTGTGTAACAATTTTGCGATACATTATTGAACATATTATAATTGATATTTTGTAGCCATGTCTTTTGCAGCAATAATAGCAACACAACGATGAAGCATGGATTCGATTAATTGAGTGATGTAGTCGTGTGGTGTTTTATTCCATTCTTCTATTAAATTTTGAAAAAATTGACTTATTAGAATTATTATACTTTTTCATTCAACGTTTCATCTCTCCCCATAGATGCTCTGTTGGATTTAAATCTGCACATTGAGAAGGCCAATCGAAAACTTGTACTTTATTTGTAGAGAACCAATTTTCAGTATCCTTTCACGTAACATGCCTGTACATATGATACAAATAAAAACACTTTCTTGAAACACAAAATTGTAAGAATTTTTGCACGCCACTGTACCTCTCGTAAAACCGTGCAATTCTGTTTGCTTTCCTTAAAAGCGCGAATTTCGAGAAACGTTCGTTTCGTCCCAAGTGTAAATTGAAAACAAGATAAAGATTCGCTCGAATTACTACGCACGTAATTTATTTCTAACCGATAGCCTGATATTTCATTGCGACGAGTCTTCTTCTTATTATAAAAATGAGAAAACTTGAACTTTGCATACTGACACAATCTTATATAATAAAATGATAATTATAGTAAGATTAAACGAGACTTTTCTAAAGCCGTTTCTAGTGCGCAAAGACCATCCGGGATGATAAAATGAAAGGAGATTGAATGGACTGAAAGGAGGAATCATCAATCGAAACGGCGCGGTAGACAAGTAATAATTAATACCTCGTGACTAACTCGTGCCGCTTAGTCGAGACAAAGACGGCATCATCGTGGCCTCGTTGTACATAAAATTTCCCCGCCGCGACACGTGCCGAGTTTTTCTCGGCGCAAGTTAAACATTGCGTCGGTCACGTAACGCGTATGACGAGTTGGAGAACGCGGGATTCTCACGAAAGGAAAAACAGCCGGACGGACTCCTTTTTCTGGCCCCGGTTTCGCGTTAACGGTAAAAGGAATTAACGCTGGATTGCGGATTCGCGTTAAACGTCGCGGATTACGAGCGCAACGCAATAACTACGAGGAATGTTGTAATAATTGCGTTTAACGGTGACATTGATTTCAGCGGAACGTTCCTATCTGACTGTGAAACAAACAGGGCAACAGGTGTTTATGGAAGTAAGATGTCGATGTTGTTCAGTCTCGTAGCTTTATTATTATCTCGTACTTCTTTGGATCTGTTGTTTTTTAAATGAATCAGTAATTGTGATTTACTTTACTATTACGATAGATCGGTTTTTAATGGTTTTCATTGGATTATTTATTAAGCACTTTACTCGGTCTATTTAAAACATGTTTTACGTTCATTAATAGCCGCGAATAATAATGAAGATTGAAACAAAAACAGTCGTAAACAATGGTACCTGTAAACGTCATCTGAAAACAGTTCGTAATCGTCTCTGAATTACTAAAAAGTGATATAGAACGAACAACTCTTGAGAATCCTCTTGTTTTGAAGACATTCTTCACTATGCAATTAAGGACAATCAGATGTAGATTCATTAATTAGAACTCGAAATAATGAAATGAAATGCACCTTTCTCTCCGGTCGCATGTTTACGCAGAAGTTCTATTTATACCTTTATCCCGGTTGCATGACATAATTGAATCTTATGTTATATAATTTACACCCTAAGGCGTTACACAATTGGATTGCGTCGCAATAATTAATCAGCAGTGATATATTTCTCTGACATGATTTTCTGGAATTACGCGAAGTAAAAGTATCACAAAGGACGTGCATACGTTGCGACCGTCCGTCGCATCGCGAGCGCAATTACGACAGTATTGCATAATCGTCACAGACCAATAAATAACAAACTCCAGTTAAAGGGGTGGATGAAAATGAACGCGCCAGTTATGAACGATGTAACGAACACGCGGTACACCACCGCAGAAATTGCTAAAGAGTGGCAGCATTATGGGACTTCGTGTCGCATGAAAAATTCTGCAATTTTTTACACCCTCTAGGATATATTGCCACCGAAGTAAGAAGTAGACAGCAAAACACTCGTTAATTCTGAATCAACCGTATAATTTATTCGTTAAAGAGTAATTGAAATAATTAATCCTGAAGAATTCGAGATAGAAAAAAAATTCATAGAATCTTTCTTGTAGAAAACGTCAGTGTCTACAACTCCTGTATAAAAAAATTGTCGCTAGTCTCAATAATAATTATTTAGAAAATAAAGTTGTTTATTGCAAAAGCTTTTTTTTCGTACTCGCGAAAGATTTATCTTTAGCTGTCATCATTATCTATAGCCTATCAAGCCAAACTCGTCGGTGCGCCGTTATAGTCATTTACCGCCTTCCTCGGTGCCGATTACCACTGAAAAGAGCGATTGCCGATTATGTTTTGAGGCCCATTGGGCCCCAACGATTACACGGTTACTGCCACTCTTTAATAGTATTTCCTCACTGCACTTAGTATACAGCAAATGACTCAATTTCACGTCACAATTTACACTCACTAGCCTTTCGTTGTAAAATTTTATATGGAATCCTAAAAACAGAAATTGAGACATTATAGTAAATTTGAACTTCAAATTCACAGCGCTTGTTTTTCCTTTGCATCAACGCCTAATTATTTATTATTTTTATATTCTTTAAATTACTTAATAATCTCGTATTTGATGTAATTTCACCTAAATCAATTCTCTAATCCGCAAGCAGATCGTGAATCTGATTTATATGGAC